GTACTCTTAGTAGCTCTTGTACCTATTTAGACTAGATCCATGGTAGTTGTTAAATCACTTTACAAGTTTAACTAAAAGCGTGTCTAGAGATCTTATTTATAAATCATATTAATTTATTTTTCCTTCGTTTTATAAAAAATTCTACATGTTTAATTATTGTTGTAAGAGGGTTCTCCTACTTAGGTGGTAGTATGTAGGTACCCGCACGGCCAGGTGGTTTGGGTCGTGACAATCGATCATCATTTCTCTTGAACTCATTGTTTTTAGGATCCTATTGAGGTCTCTGTTTTCTCTTTAAGCATTTATCTTACTGCCCTATTTATAAGAGTCATTCCTTCATCTTGATATTCACCAGTTTCTTCTTCAAATCCAGATGTCTTGGCTGTAAATGCCACGGTCTTCTTTTTGTTATTTTTAATGTACATGTTAATATGATTCTATTCATAGGCCATTAAGTTTCCTCGAAGTTCATCGTATGTCATTTTCTGCAGATCTCCATCTTCAAGAATGGCAGCTTTAGTTTCCCAACCTTTGGGAAGACTTCTAACAAGTTTTCTGGCTTGTAGTCCATTTGAATACACCATTCCAAGTAATTTGAGTTCGCAAATAATTTTACTGAATCTGGAGAACATGGCTTCTACATTTTGATTTTTGGCCATCTTGAATAATTCATATTCATTTACTAGTGAACTAATCTGAGCTTCCTTTACTTTAGTGGTTCCTTCATAAGTCACTTCTAGTTTGTCCCACATTTCTTTCGCAGTTTAACATGTCGATATCTTGTCATATTCAGCTCCACTCACTGCACAATATAACAAACTTATAGCTCTAGCATTAGTTTGAATTACCTCTTGTTGTTCCTTTGTGATATCGAATGATTCAGGATCAAATGGTTTTTCAGTGCCATCTTTTTCAGTCAGTCCAGGAATGGGCTTTGGGCCCTTCTTGATCACTATCCATGCTTGATGATCATTTGAAGGGACAAAGATTTTGAATCTGTCTTTCCAGTGAGAGTAATGTTTTCCATTGAAGTATGGTGGTTGGTGTGAAGAATGTCCATCTTGAAGTAGAGCACCAGGAATATGATAGTGTGCCATCGGATCATCGCTCATGTGTGGTTAAACACTTAAATGGTGAGACCTGCTCTGATACCAATTGAAAGTAAAGGGTGGGGGGGTGAATTAAAATTTCCTTCAGTCGACTTCCTGTAATGGCCAGTCAACTCACCTGCACGTTAGTAGAGTAGATAAACAGTAATAATAACAATATGCAGTAAGTAAAAATACAAAGAGTTTTTATACTGGTTCGAAACACCGATGTGGTGCCTACGTCTAGTCTCCTTGAGTTTCAAGGGTTTCCTTTAGAGCTTTGAAATGAACTTCAGATGTTACAGGGTTTTGTAAATTGATCTTGTCTGATATGCAAATCAGATGTTCTACCTTGACACTTCCTCTACTTGTAAACCTACACTCAGAATCTTTCTTTCTCTTTTCTGTTCAATTGTTTCACTCACGTGATTACGAAGCATTATGAAAAATGAAAGAAGATTGCAATATAAGCTCAAGTGAAGTTGCATCCTTCACACCTAAGTCTGAGGGAGGTATATATATGAATAGACTTGTGCTCTTGTAAGGAAAACACAAGTGTATTATGTTTCAATCAGGGATTTGAGGAATCCCTTGATTGAGGCGATTTGCCGATCTGTGTCCATATTAGATATGTGCATGGTAAATCACATTTCTTCTTTCTTGACTGATATGGCTTGATTATGTGCTTGGCTGGAAGATTTATCTTGACTCTTTGCTTGATCTGATTTCCTTCCTTCTCTTGGTGACTTGGCTCTATTCTTGGCTTGATTTATGATTTCTTGATCTCGTACTATCAATCAATATTAGCTTGATTGAGTTGCTGCCAGTTTAGGCCATCTGTTATTGATTTTCAATCCTTTTGATTATGCCTTTCCTTTCTGTAGTATTTGTAAGGATCAGAATATATCTCCTTCCATGTTGGTGTTGTTTGCTTGGCTCCTTTCCTTATTGGATTTCTTTGCCCGCGAGAATTATGAGTAATTTTTAAGTGTCATTTATCAGAATTTACTAACACTAAGGAGCTAATAGAAGTGTTAAGGAAGTCCAAGCACTTTTGCTTTAGAACCTAACTATAAAGGTCTCCAAGTCCCTTTTTATTATATATATAAAGAGACCTAGTTTATGTTCTATTATATAATAAGTATTAACTAATAATCTTCTATTATATTTATATATAATAAAAGAGTGAATAGTCATTCAATTGACCAATCTGTCCTTCTAATATCAGGTGCGATTAAGTTTCTAATATCGTTTACTCAATATGAATTAACCTAGAAAAAGTATATGAATTGGTAACCTAGAAAAAGTGAAAGGTAAAAAAAAAATAGTGAATCATATAAATCGGGACAAACTCTCTCCATTAAAAAAAAATCTAGTCCGACTTCGCATGGAATTTAGTTCTATCTTTTGTTGTTTGGTTTTTATTGATTTATAAATTTATAAATTATGTTGGAAAGAAATTAAAGCTATTTATATAAAATTTGAAAAAAAAATGATTGAGAGATAAATTTGATATCCCGAAAAAAAATATTCAAATTTATTTATAATAATTTTGAGTTATTTTCATGGGAAAATGGTCAAAAATGCCCTTCAATTTAAGTTTATTAGTTGACTATACCCCTGCCGTTAAAACAAAGTTATTTATGCCCTCGCCGTTACTAATTTCACCATTTATACCCTCAATTGACAGAAATCCCCAAATTGACATAAATTAACCAATTTTACTTAAATTACCAATTTTAACCCGATCCAACTCGACCCACTTAATAATATAAACCATTTTTGTCTATCTTGTTCATCTTCATATTTAATGTTGGGTTCCTTTTCAAAAGCAACCTGTAAACAATTCATTTGAAAAAACCCATCAAGCAATTAGCAAAAACCACCTGCTCCATCCACAAACTCCAGCAAAGAGAGACCGCCGCCAGTCCCCTCCTTTTTCCCCTTTTACGTTTCGCCGCCAGTCCCCTCCCTTTTCCCCTTTTACGTTTTCTTCTATTGTATATGTGTTTTTGGCTGCAACTCCGGTGAACAATGACCATGAACTCCGGCGAGGCTCTGCATATCAGTAGCCACCACAGCCTCTCTCCCAACGCCAAAATCAGCAAATCCATTTCTCGAACCAGTTAACAACACCAACACAGCTCCACGACCGAGCTTTCAACCCCATTTTCCGGTGACCCTCTATTTTCTTTCCATTCTTATATTTTATGATGATTTATTTTTCTTTTACATTTTTCACTCTATGCTCTGTGTTTCAGATTTGGTTAGGGAGTTCAAGCTCCAATAATCTTTCTTTCATATTCCTTGTTCAAGTTTGTGTATGCTATTACATTTTATTGTTGATTATTTTAATTTTTGGTTTGATATTATTGTTTTTTGGGCACTGTTCAGAGAATTGAAACTTTTTCGGACAACTTTTTCTTGTTAATTTGTTATTATGTTGGATTTTTTAAAAATTAATTATAAAGATGAAGATTACCATAAATGAAGATGAACAAAAATGGGTTTATATTATTAGGTGGGTCGGGTTGAAATTGGGTAATTTAAGTAAAATTGGTTAATTTGAGTCAATTTGGGGATTTCCGTCAATTGAGGGATATAAATGGTGAAATTAGTAATGACAAGGGCATAAATAACTTTGTTTTAATGGCAGAGGTATAGTCAGCTAATAAACCAAAATTGAGGGGTATTTTTGACCATTTGCCCTATTTTCATTTTAAGCATATCCAATAGACTTGATAATTTTTCTTAATTAATTGACACAATTTAAATACTGGAAAATTTCTTAACATAATTTTTCTTTGAAGTTACTCATAAAAATGATTTAAGTATTAGGAAATCCTTTAAAAGACTACTAAAAACATAAAAAACAAGAGAGAAACATTATGGTGTTTCTCTTTTGATATAAGGTTATAGTGGTTTACATGTCACTTTTAAAAATTTAATAATAATGTTAATTGGTGCTAGATCTTAAAAAAAATTCTTCGACTTGATTTGGGTAAGAAGTTAGAGAGATTGAAAGAACGTATAGAAAAATTCTTGAAAGGAAGCATTATAGTCCAAGTGAGATCCTACTTGGCGCAAATTTGAATTAATTAAACTTTAATGCAGATATTACACACTGAGTGAAAAGTTATAAAATAATAATTGAAGGAACGTATATATGTATCGTCTTTCCTTTTGCACAATATATAGTGCATCTTGCAAGTTATTAACAGATGGGTTTAACATATTACAACCAAAGAAATCAATTATTACAATTTCTATGAAAAATTACTTTTAATACTCCAAATTTTAGGACAATATTTACTACGGCTTCTCAAATACGTGTATCATTGACCAAAATTCTTACTAATGACCAAATAGAGATTCTCAAAAATTAACTGCTTTTTTTTTCTATCAAAAAATTTGACCAAATGGTCATTCTGTTTAACTATTCAAATTTATTATCACCATCTTCCTATCTGTTACATTTGTTCTGAGAGATAAAGATTGAATCTTTAAAATCCCCACTAACTCCAATTACAATAAATTTTATATTTCTTTAAGCAATAGTCTCCATGAATAATTATGTATGTGTTTACAACTTTTCAAACACCATGGTTAGATATTACGGAAAATATAAATTTTCTTTTAACTGAGACTTGGAAGAAAAAAAAAGGCATCCTTTTCCTAATCTTATTCGGTCACATACATACGGTTTAGGGAGAATTTTCATAATTTCCTAATTTGACATTGTTTATGCAAAACAAATTCTCCCATTAAGCTATTTTTTTTTCGGTTTTGACTTCATACTTTAACTAGGATAGTGTAAATCTAATGCTCTATAAATTAAGCCCTTCAAACCTCTCAATAATATTCTGAACAAAAATTAATTAACATCTCTTGTTCAAATATATTTTTATCATCATGTCTATTTCAACAAAGTTCTTAACTCTAAAGACTTGCGATGGTAAGGAATTTGTACACGAAGAGGCGATAGTCGTAAGTTCACAAACTATCAAGAATATGGTTGAAGATGATTGTGTTTCAAATGCCATTCCTCTGCCAAATGTTCATAGCAAAACAATGACCAAAGTGATCGAATACTGGAAGAAACATTTGGAGGATGGCGTCTCCAAAGACATGTTGATGGATTTTGACAAGGCTTTTGTGAATGTGCACCACTCAATTTTGCATGCTCTTATCTTAGCTGCTAATTTTCTTAACGATAAGGAGATATTGTATATGATGTGTCAAGAAGTTGCTGATAGGATCACTACTAAAAAACTGCCAAAAAATGACGGACAGAAAAGCGACGGACTGCGTCGCTCCAAAAAGCGACACCATTTGCCACACTGTCCGTCGCTTTTTAATAAAAATAGTTATTTTTAAAATTATTTTACAAAAAATGACGGACAGCATCTCTTAGTCCGTCGCTTATTTTTGCGGATTTTTGCGCTATATATATATATAATTAATAATTATTTATTTAATATATATAGAGACGCCGTCCCTCGCTTTTTAATAAAAATAATTATTTATAAATTAAACAATAACCACGCTGTCCGTCGTTTTTAATTTATTTTATTTTATTAATTAGTTTTTTTAAAAGCGACGGACAACATCTCTTAGTCCGTCGCTTTTTGGTCAAAATATCTAGTTTAAAAAAAGCGACGGACAGCATCTCTTAGTCCGTTGCTTTTTGGTCAAAATATTTAGTCAAACATTTAAAAAAAACGATGGACAGTGTCTCTTAGTCCGTCGCTTTTTAGTCAAAATTTTGGTCAAATATTTTTAAAAAGTAACGGGCAAAGAGACGCTGTCCGTCGCTTTTTTAAAATTATGTTGAACCAAAAAATGGGTTTTCCCCCCATTTTCCCATCTCTCTTTCTCTATCTTCTTTATTCTCTCCCTTCTCTCTAAAACCTAATGGTTGCGCCGCCGCCGCCCCACGCCACCCCACGCCGTCGTAGCCCTTCTCTCCTTGAGCATTAGTCTCGTTGCTGCCTTCCCCCGTTGGCACCGCCACCCGTCGTCCCAACTACCTCTTTTCCTTAGCTTGTTAAGGTTAGGGTTTAATTTTAGTTTTTTTCAATTCTAATAATATTTGATTTGTTATAAATTAGTATATTGGTTTAGTTTGATGAATTGTGTTATTCAAATGTTAATTTATATATTTGATTATTGTTAGTTAGGTAGAGAATTGGGGATTTTTGCTTTTAGTGTTTTCTTCTTAATTGGGCTTTTTTAAATATGATTGTGAATTGAGTATTATAAGATAGAACTAACAAATAATTAGAAGTTAGAAGTACGATTAGTTGCATTTTCAAACTTTGAAATTCTTGAATTTAGTATGTTTGACGGTTGAAGTTAGAAAAACATTCAATTGTATATGGAAGTTAGATTCCTTTGAAGTTAGAAAAATATTGGATAGTATATGAAAGTTGAAATTAGATTAGTTGAATTTTCCAACTTAGAAGTTCTTCAATTTAGTAAGTTTGAAAGTTGAAGTTATAAAAATTGGGGATTTTAAAATATGATTGTAAATTAAGTATTAGAAGTTAGAACTAACAATAATTAGAAGCTAGAAATTAGAGATTAGTTGAATTTTTCAATTTGCCATTGTATTTGTGCTTATATGTATTATATTGTTGTTGAAAATTGGGTTACATGAATTATATTCTTGGACTTAAAAATTCTTGAACTTGGAAATTCTTGAACTTAGACATTATAGAAATTAGATATGAACTTGAATTTTTGTAGGATTTTAGAACTTTAATTAGGTTGTGAACTTTAGAAATCTTGAATTATTGTAGGATTTTAGAACTTTAGATTGTGAACTTTAGAAATCTTGAATACGTGGGATTTTAGAACTTTAAGTTGTGAAATTTAGAAGTCTTGAATTATTGTAGGATTTTAAGCTTTAGGTTGTGAACTTTAGAAATCTTGAATTATTGTAGGATTTTAGAACTTAAAGGTGTGAACTTTAGAGAACTTGAATTTTTGTAGGATTTTAGAATTTCATAAGGTTATGAACGTTAGGAATCTTGAATTATCGTAGGATTTTAGAACTTTAAGTTGTGAACCTTAGAGAATTTGATTTTTGTAGGATTTTAGAACTTTAGGTCGTGAAACGTTAGAAATCTTGAATTATTCTAGAATTTTAAAACTTTAAGTTGTGAATTTTAGAGAACTTGAATTTTTGTAAGATTTTAGAACT